TGGGGAGCTAACATGATGCAGCCCAGACTCCCAGTGCAGGCTAAAAGTGGAGCAGGCATGGTGCTCTCGCGCTATCATCAGCTGCGCTGATAGAGAGACTTGATCCTCTCTCAATCAGTAGACGATGTGAGACACATTTGACAGAAGTACCGAAAGTAACAAAAATTCTAGTACCGAACCATTTTTTCATGTACTAGTATCGAAAAAGTACAGAAGTTTTGGTATACATGCAACATTAATTAGGTGAGGTCGCGACACACATTGAGACTTAAGCTGTCTGTGGATCAAGCCACACAACAGATCTTTTGTTTGGAGTGTTTCTGAGCTCCCTCGCATGTTTATGCTGCTGCTAGTGTTTTTAAAAAGCTGCTGCTAGGGTTTTTAAAAAGCTGGCCCCCATAGAGTACTTGAGATGTACAGTCATAGGGAGATATTATTAACATAACAATATTAGGGTTTGAAATACTGTCTCGAAGGAAAGACCAGCCTCATACGGCCTCCTGTAGCTCAGTTGGTAGAGCATGGCGCTTGCAACACCAGGGTTGTGGGTTCGCTTCCCACGGGGGGCCAGTATGAAAAATGTATGCACTCACTAACTGTAAGTTACTCTGGATAAGAGTGTCTGCTAAATGACTATAAATGTAAAATGTACCAAGTTTGAGCTGTTTTGAAAAGAGCTGTCATAGTCCTACATGTTTCCTTTAGGCCAAGGGTAAAACATTTTGGGGAATCGCCTCAGGAAATGTGCTAGAAGGAGGTCATGGCTATTAGCATTGTTGATTGATGACAGTTGGCTCCAGTTTTGCCTAGATGTCCAAAATGTGATGTGCCATGGCATTGGCCTATATGTGTCATGCTAGGTGCTTGTTGTTACAGGTACAGCTAGCCTTTAACTATAACTGCTTGTCATTGAGGAAATTCAACTCATGTAGGTGGATAATTAACATATCTGGGTAGATAGAATTACACCAGGCTAAATCCATCTCCACTTTCAAATATTATTCAAATATGGTCATTCGAGTCTCCACAAGTCATATAGAAATGACACACGACCATATCCATCTTAGGACACACCAAAGGAATTCTCTCTGGAAAGTCCTCATACAAAATCCACTGTCTTGTGGGGCTGGTGACGTAAGCACACGCAGTGGTTAAATTCCTGTGGACATAATTTGTTTTTGGTACGCTTGGACCTTTGCCCACCCCAACCCCAAAATTGCTATCTAGCTAGCTCCCCCTGGCTATTACTAAGCCAATGTCCCTACTAATTCTACTCCAAAGGCCTGCTGCGTATCCCCTCCCACTCTGCCTTGAGCTCCATAAGGAGTGGAAAACAAGGAAGCACAGTTGTGTCAAAGCTATTTTTTGAGCTACAGTAAACATTGGCGTTTTTGTGAAGGAAATGTCCTCTATCAAAGGCAGCTATGCTAATTTTCGAACACTCAAAATAGACCCACCACACAGTCGCCTGTAGCATGATGCTAGCGTAAAATTGTTTGACATTATTTGAGACCAATTTGAGTCAATGTGTGATCTTCATCAACGAATGCATTACATAGAGGGAGGCAATTTTATCTCCATGTTCTCACTTAGCCAGTCAAGCCTCTGCAACAGAGTGACCATTGTTCTATACTGATATACTATGAGACGAGGTTAGAGACAAGAGAGTGACTGCAGTACTGGACTGGCATTGTGTTCTGTGTATGTAGCTAGTCCAACCCAGTATCACAGATTATTGTAAAATAGACACTAATTGCTTATTGGAAATGTTTCCGTGTGCAGTACACGATTTTGTATACAGTGCATTTCAATCACAGATAAAGACAGTGGGTTACTTAAGACAGAAATGATAGGAGGGAAGTAGTTGGGGAGGATGGGTAGGTGTATAATGTGAATGTCTAGCAATCCAAAGGTTGTGTGTTTGAATCTCATCACGGATAACTTTAGCATTTTCACTAATTAGCTACTTTACTACTTACTACTTTTTAGCTACTTTGCAACTACTTAGCATGTTAGCTAACCCTTCCCTTAACCCTAATCTTAACCCTTTAACCTAACTCCTAAACCTAACCCTTTAACTACTTAGCTAGCATGTTAACTAACCCTAACCTTAACCCCTAGCCTAGCTAACTTTAGCCACCTAGCTAGCCTAGCTAACGTTAGCCACAACAAATTGGAATTCGTGTAATGTACACGAATGCGTTATGAAGAAAGAAAATAGTGTAATACACACGAAATGCGTTGTGTTGAATATCGTGTAATGACTTTTCTGAGTGCCTGTCACGAATTTCGAATAAGTAATTTGTCTATTTCACAATAAGCTGTGGTATTCCCAAGTGGCGCAGTGGTCTAAGGCACTGCATCGCAGTGCTAGCTGTGCCACTAGAGATCCTGGTTTGAGTCCAGGCTCTGTCGCAGCCGGCCGTGACCGGGAGACCCATGGGCAGCGCACAATTGGTCTAGCGTCGTCCAAGGTAGGGGAGGGTTTGGCCAGCAGGGATGTGGGTTCGTTTCCCACGGGGGGCCAGTATGAAAAAAACAAAAAAACATGTATGCATTCACTAACTGTAAGTCGCTCTGGATAAGAGCATCTGCTAAATGACTGAAATGTAAAATATAATAGTGTGTTGAGCTAGTCTGCATCAGTAAGTGGTTTAATGTAGCCTACTTGTACTCCAACACATGTGGCATACAGTGGTGAGTTAAAGCTATGGCTGTGTCCCAATCCAAAGGCAGCATCCTTGTCGATTGGGACACACACAGCCTACATACATAAGGGCTCCAATTGTGGGTCACAGAGCTTAGTTATCATGACATAGCAAGTTGGAGTTTTTTTTTAACCATAAGTCACTATTAAATGTTGTTAGAAAAGCATTAGTGTGCCGTGAAGTAAGCCGTGGTTGGGAATGGAGTTCCTATAATGAAAATATTCAATAGGAACTCCGGCAGGTAGCCTAGCAGTTAAGAGTGTTGGGTCAGTAACTGAAAAGTCACTGGTTTGATTCCCCGAGCTGACTAGGTGAAAATCTATCGATATACCCTTGAGCAAGGCACTTTACCCTAATTGCTCTGGATAAGAGTGTCTGCTAAATGATATGTAAAACATTTTTTAGAATAATATTTGGAGATCCAACAGTATCTTTCTTAATATCTCCCTCATGTACTGTACTGTATGTCACCATTCTGTTGAAAAAGAGGGGAATGAGTAGAATTGGCCTTCGCAGTTAAATGCTGATGTAGCAGAACAGATCGCACACAACACCCTCCTTTTATTCAGCTGGGAATGTTTCTCGTCTCTCTCTCTCTTTCTCTCTCTCTCTCTTTACTTCATCCCACAGCCCTTTGCTTACACTTCAGCTACACGACACTCGTCGCATTGGGTCGCCATCAGCATTGTGTCCATTTGACGTTCTACCTGCTACACCAGAAACCAAAATCAACTTTATGTCTCATTATTTCAATTACCCAGATAGAACCTCTACGATTCTTGAGCTTGGACACTGCCATTGGACTCAATGCAACGCAGGCAGTATAGCAGCTTTCATTGATTTCAAAGGAAGCACTCCCTCAATGGTTGATGGCTGATGGCATTGCCGAACGCCCGATGGCTATAGTGTAGCAGGGCGGTTACTCTGCCATAGATGGATGGATGGATGGATGGATGGATAGATAGATTTATTTGATCATTTAAAACACAATACAACCAGATATGTGGATAATGCATTTAAATTCATCGAGGATGACACAAAAAAGTTTAACATATTTTCATTGTGGTCCTCTTAAATAAATGCCCAAACATAACAGACGTAGCCTTCTAGGCATACTTGGGTTACAGATATAATAATAGTTAATACAAAAAAATACTTTTCAAATAATCTCAACGTGCATAAAAAGTAAAACAACAAACAAAACATTTAAATGATGGAGATTGAAAGTCTCGGTCGACTTGGGATGAAGTTGAGGCAGTTTTGGCTGAAAAGGTAGTGGAGGTTCAGTGGAGGGGGCATCGATGGGACAGCCAAGGAGAAACAAAGACAGTCTGAAAAAACAGGCCCGGAGCTATTCAACAGCACACCACACCTGCTTCTCTGAATGGTCAGTCACTCCATTGGAGCCGCTTCTCTGGTACTGGTCCTCCATTGCCAGGAATTTCTCCTAAGCTAACTCTTCTGATCTCCTGCTCTCTCTCTCTAGCTAGACTGAGAGATATACTGAGGAAGAGCAGGTCTGCTACGTCCTCTCGTCTTCTCTCTATCTGACTCTCATCTCTCTCTCTCTCTCTCTCCTCTCTCTCTCTCTCTCTCTTCTCTATCTCTCTCTCTCTCTCTCGCTTCTTCTCTCTCTCTTCTCCTCTCTTCTCTCTCTCTCTCTTGTCGTTCTGTCTGTCTGTCCGATCACCTGAAGCGTGGGATTGGGATCAGGTTCATCAGGCTAGGCATTCTGGGCTGGAATTATTTCAATCAATTGTCTTATTCATTGAGCTATGGGAAAGCTCCATAGGCTACACTCAGCAGTCAGCCGGTGGTGATCTGTACTTCCTGTTCACATGCAATTGCATTACGCGGCTTAATGATTTGATTGACTGATTCGCAATTTGGAGTTTGAAGCATGCGATTTATGCTAACCACCTGTGGAACAGTATGTGCACAGTATGTACTGTATGTTCAGTGTGCCAGTAAATGTAATTATCCGCTTTTAAAATAATCCTGTTGGTGCGGGCGTTCCTCCTTCGCGCTAATCTAGTGTGCATTTGGTGTGTTTATTTCTGCTTGGAGATAAAGGTATCTTATCTTATATTAAAGTTGGTGACGTTTTCCTGACAATAGTTTTGTTGGTACGCAATGAACAGACTGTACAGCGGTCTTCAAAATTCACGCTGACGCCACTCCATGTGCTATGTAGGAATTGCTCTCTCTGAAGCCTCAAAGCTTTACGGTATATCATTGTTGAAAAATAAAGACTTGTTAAAACTCTAAACTCTCTCTCCCTCCTCTCCAGTCTCCACATGCATCACAACCTGTAAGAAGCCGGCGCCCCCGCCCGTGCCGCCCCGCACCACATCCAAACCCTACATCTCGGTGACGGTGCAGAGCAGCACTGAGTCGGCCCAGGACACCTACCTGGATCACCAGTCTGAGCGCGACCGCCGCAGTGAGACCATCACCAGCCTGTCTAGCCAGGCCCACAGCAATTCCTCCGACAGCCTCGACAGCACGCGCGCCAACAGCTTGGCTCGGGGTGTCCCTCGGCCCATCCCCGTCCCCGTCGCCACCCACCGGGAACCCCTTGCCACCACCGTCCACCACACCATCACCGGGACTGACACCAATGACTTCCAGCATGAACCCCTGAGTACGGGCGCCAACAGAGGGAGCCTGACAGCAGAGGAGCCACGAGCGGACATCGTGCCCCGGAGAAAGCTCTCCTCCATAGGGATACAGGTTGGAGCGCCGTTACAGTTTAGTCAGTGACATAATGGTATAGTCAGTGACGTTACGGTACTGTCAGTGACGTTACGGTACTGTCAGTGACGTTAAAGTACTGTCAGTGACATTATGGTTGTGTTACAGTGGAGTCATTAACGTTTCATTAGTCAGTAATATCACAGTTTAGTTTCTTACTGTTTGAGGTAAAAAGCTGGAGTAAGAGTGTCTGTGTTTGGTAGTATGGCTTAGGTCCAGCAATGGACTGATGTGCAACCATTGGGCTGCTGGAGGGTATTTAACCTAACCATTGATCATTTTAAAGAATAACCAAACAGTGTACTGCACTAATTCAAAATGGATTTTTCTTATGCTTACAGCTCATATGGGGCTTGCTGAATTTGTATTTTGAAAGAGTGCCATCTGGAAAATGAAAAACTCAAATGAGTACTCCCCATCCTTGCCTGAGGCAAACATTATGCTTTCACTTCATTATTATTATTATTATTTATTTTATTACTGTCTAGAATGAGGCAGCTAGTTTTTTTTTTGCGCGATGCAAATGGTCAGATCTCACAATGCCTGCAGAAGTGTTTACTGTCTCTGGAACCACATAAAAATGACATATAGTAGTAATCTTCTGAGACGCGCAGATCGACTGCAACAAATATGACCTGGAACACCACACATTTTCCACCAGAATCAACCTTTTCCAGGTGACAAATGCTTTGTATTGAAGACTGTTTTTTGATTGGTTGTTAGGTTGACTGCATTCAGGAGGAAGCCCAGCGAGAGGAGACACCGACAACGCCATTGACCAGATTCCAGTCAATCGGAATCCAGGCGGACGACGGTTGGCAGTAAGTGCACTTCCTGTCCCGTTCGTGACTCCCGTTCATTTCTGCGCCACACAATACAATGTTGCCTAAATATATTAATCTCTGAGGGGCCATTTTGATGTAGACACTGAGAAAATATACATAATGTGAGAACTAACACACCTGTTATGTTGCCAAGAGCATACAATATTTACATAAGCTGTTTTACAATGACTCATTCGACATTTGAAAGTCATTCTGTAGTTGTGTAGCGTAGTCATTGTCATGTAGTTTACATCGTTTCGTGATATTTTAATGCCAGGAAGTCCTTGCATGCTACACTCGGCTTCCCTCTCTTTGACCCCCCTCCTAGTTTTCATGCTGAGTACCAGTTGGTTGTCAAATTTTCTCTCACTATATGAATACATCTGAATGTGGCCTTTATCAGTTGATATCTTAGACAGAGCCTAAACACAGAGCTTTGTTTAACTTGACTCAAACATAAACTGTGAGTTTGGTATTTCTATACCGGTATGTCCACCTAAACATACTCCTTTTCAAAACACCACCTCCTAGTTCTATTTCTAATAAAAACATCAATGCTTTTTATTGGCACCCCATACCAACAATTAAAGTATGTCCTTTATCCCCCTCCCATATTAGTATTATTAGTATTAGTATTATTATTATCCTATTCTTAACCATGGATATTCGGACTGCCAAGTATCCATAGTATTTCCACAGATGACCTTGTTTGGTGTTTCCTGTTCTATCACTTGAATGGGAAGGTAGCATTGTAGCCAAGGTCAGACAAAGGTCAGGGTTTGCGCTACCATACCATTCCTCAGCCAAGCCCTTTTCCCGTACATGTGATGAGTCATAGAGATAGATAGAGATCGAACTTGCCACAAAAGACTGCGATGGCATGTGCAACGCAATGGAGGGCTTTCACCATTTTAATGTAGTCAACTGTGTGGTATGCTCTCTATCCATCTCTATGGTTTAGGCTATGTTCTGTGTCTCCTGTCTACTGCCTCCAAGCTGAGTTCACCACCGCATCATGTCGACAAGGCAACGCTACACTGTGATCGATATCCATCTTCTGTTTTTATACCTGTATTGATCAGTAGGGGATGTAGTGCCTGGCATTGAGAACATTCCTTGGTTTGTTTTGTAGCAGGAAAAGGCTAGGTCATATTTTGTCCTCTGGTCTTTGTTTTGGATGGTTGGCTCAGTTACAGAAGCAGTTGGGGTTGGTTTGACTTTGGTTAGCTTTCGATTGCAGGATGGTGTTAGGTTGCAGGCACATTCTGGTTCTCAAAGTTTACTTATACTTATCCATTGTCTTGACAGAATAATATTATTAGAGATGCATTGTCTGTTTTGCCATCGACATTGGAGCATTGACCACTTTCTTTTCTCTCACTGTTTTGTGTGTGTTTTCAGGCTCAGTCACTCCAGTAGCATGGCCTCCAAGCAGGAGACAGACTCTGACAGACAGGACCTTCCCATCAACTCGCACACCAACTCCCACGCCAAGCCAGCCGCCGAGAAGAAGAGCATGGTCAACAGTGCCTGCCAATCCATGGACTCGCCCCCGTGCGGCGGCCAGGTCAGCAAGGGCAACGGATCAAATCCCACCACTGACACCAGTACGTCGCCACCTCCGCTTCGGCAGATCCTCAACCGCTCCACCACACGGTCCGACTCCTCCGACTCCTTCTCCGAGAGCATGGACCCGGCCCTGGACCCCTCGTCCCTGCCCCCTCCGGACCCCTGGCTGGAGAGCGGGAACGGAAATGGCGGCAGCGGGAACCCTAACTCGGTGCCCCCTCCTGGCCCTGCCTGCCGGCGGGACGGCCACTGGTTCCTCAAGCTGCTGCAGGCGGAGACGGGCCGCATGGAGGGTTGGTGCCAGCAGATGGAGCAAGAGACCAAAGACAACCAGCTCTCAGAGGAGGGTAAGACAACTAATCGTTCTATTCTTGCAGTACATATAAAGAAATTGCCTGCCCTAGTAAGAACTATCATTGACAGCTTTCATTTGAAAACATTTGCTCCTGTGCAGGCATAATGATCATGAACCTATCAGAAAGTAGGTCATACCCTGACAATAGACTATGCTCCAGGACAAACCTCTCCGTAACTCAACTCTACGCAAAGTATTTCTGAGAACATAATGTAGCCTATTCTTTTGGAACGAGCCCCCACTAACATCCACATCATGCAGATGGACTGATCTACAAAGTGGTCTGACCTGAACTGACCTGATCCAAAGGTTCAAAGCTTGGAAGTAGGGTTCAACCACAGGATTCACACACAAACACACACACACACACACACCCTGCAGTGGATGAGGCGGTAATACTTGGGGTTAACACACAGACAGACCTGTAATCCCAGAATTACACTAATCTACTCTGGACTGGATAACAGACCCAGATTATATTAGCGCCTCAACATCAGGCTGACATAGCACACACAAGAGAGTAGGCCAGACACACACACACTGCACAGTCCTGACACAACATCTCAGTCAAGCATACACGCTATATCAGAAGATCTTGACCAAACCAAGAACAAGCCAAGGTCACGCATGTGTGTATCTGCGCGTGCACAGTGTATGTGTGCTCGCCCGTGCATTTCTCTCACTGTTGGCTGGATTGAGTCGACATTGAATCTGATTACTGCAGGACCATAGAAATACCTTGTTCTGCTGGCTCTTAATCTCAATGCCATAACCTCATCATCCAGTGGTCAGATTTCACCAATACAGATGTTTGTTCTACTTTTGAAGCAGCAGTAAAACCATGTCATAAAGACTGGATGAAGAAGACTCAAGTATCTATGGATGCTAAGAGGGTTGCCTTTAAAGAGGATAACACTGTCCATTACACTGTAATCCTCTCGTGTTGCCCCCCTATGGAGTCGTTTTGACATGGCCTTAACATCCATCTCTAGTCTAGACACCCCACATTAGCTTGGGTTCATTTTAGCAACGTTGTTGGCATGTTTTGCTGTTATAATGTAATGTTCCTGTTAAAACAGGCTACGGTTGTTCTCCCTCACAAATCATCTTGTATCTCCCTGTGTGACAAATCCTTTTCACAGATTCCCTTGTGTGCAGTCTAGCATTCAATTTAGTTGTACAAATAGGGGGAAGTGTGTAGACAACCACATCTATCTCAAGATGGTAGTACCAAGTATTTACTCAGTACATGGCAGAACACTGTCTTGTTGTTTTTGAAACAGTGTGGAAATGGATGTACAGTAAGACCTGATACACATCAGTAGCAATGGGAATAGTTTATTACCATTAGCCCATTTTAGGGTTTCAATCCTTTTTTTGTGTGTGTGTGATTTTACCCAATTTTTCTCCCCAATTTCGTGTTATCTAATTGGCAGTTAGTCTTTTCCCATCGCTGCAACTCCCGTACAGACTCGGGAGAGGCGAAGGTCGAGAGTCGTGCGTCCTCCGAAACACAACCCGACCGAGCCGCACTGCTTCTTGACACAATGCCCGCTTTAACCCGGAAGCCAGCCGCACCAATGTGTCGGAGGAAACACTGTACACCTGGCGACCGTGTCAGCGTGCACTGCGCCCGGCCCGCCACAGGAGTCACTAGTGCGCGATGGGACAAGAACATCCCTGCCGGCCAAACCCTCCCCTAACCTGGACGACGCTGGGCCAATTGTGCGCCGCCCATGGGTCTCCCGTCGCGGCCGGCTGCGACAGAGCCTGGACTCTAACCAGGATCTCTAGTGGCACAGATAGCACTGCGATGCAGTGCCTTAGACCACTGCGCCACTCGGGAGGCCCTAGGGTTTCATTCCTGAGTGAAACAAGAGACATTCAAGGCGTCTTGTGTCTTGTCTGTCTTGTGTGTCTTGTCTGTCTTGTGTGTCTTGTCTGTCTTGTCTGTCTTGTTTGTCTTGTCTGTCTGTTTGACTCAATCTATGTGTGTGTTTTTGTTATCTGCAGTGTTGGGGAAGGTCCGCAGTGCAGTGGGCAGTGCTCAGCTCCTCATGACCAAGAAATTTGAGCAGTTCAGAGGACTGTGTGAACAAAACTTGGTAAGTATCACCTCTCCATATTCCAACTCACCAATACACACATCACATAAACAGACAAAACAATACTACCCCATGACAACATCAAATTACTAAACCAAACAATGTTTGTTATGCCACCACAACAACCACATAACCAGACAAAACAATACATCCACATTACCAGACAAAACAATACTACTCTACCAAAACATCACCAGACAAAACAATACATCCACATTACCAGAAAAAACAATACCACTTTACAAAAACATCACTGGACAAAACAATACATCCACATTACCAGACAAAACAATACTATTCCATACTCTACACACACATCAAATAACCAGACATTACAGAAAAACACACACAAAAAACACCACTTATATTATATTACCAGAAAAACAGTTATTATATGATGATAATTATCCCATCCATTCCACATCTGATCCTACACACATCACATCACTAGGCAAACACATGCCACATAATAATATAATATGCCATTTAGCAGACGCTTTTATCCAAAGCAACTTACAGTCATGCGTGCATAAAACATTTTGGTGTGTGTATGGGTGGTCCCAAGGATCGAACCCACTACCTTGGTGTTACAAGCGCCGTGCTCTACCAGCTGAGCTACAGAGGACCACATGAAATGCAACTGAGAGATTAGCATTACCTAAGTGACAAGCTGAATGCTAACAGGCAGTAAGGTCAAAGGAGAATTGATTGATCGGGCTTCTCCCCGACCTGAGTGGTTAAGCTCCCTTAAAGAGTGGACATGTCTCTCTGAATCACATCATTCCACTGATCTTAGTACAGTGGACTCAGACTATGACAGCCCCAATCAGTGGGATAAGACTGACCTCGGATCGACTACATTTTGTTGGTCCTCTGGTAGTCTATTCTCAGGGGAATTCAGTGTCATCATTGTCTGAATGTATTACGTTCTCTCAAATGAGAACTAGACATGCAGTTATTCAGACAGAGGACCGAGAATCTATGGATGTTAACGCAGTTTTTATGAATAATGATCATGTGGTCATAAAGTTCAGTGTGCGTATCATTGTAGAAAGGGGTACTGATTGTGTTCAATGAGTCGGTTATAATAGGACTCAGTTTTAATGTCACCATATTGTTGAACTCATGTTTTGCATTAATGGTTGTGTATTGAACCTTTGGGCTATGCTGTGCTTTTGCTGATATAATACTTTTATCCTACAAATAAATACCTAATATTTTGTATTTATTGGAATTTTTCCCCCTATCATTACACAAAAAGTATATTTTTGAAAGAGAAATGTTATTCAGAAACCAGATAATTTTTCTCTCAATACATAAAATGTTCAGCTGGAAACAGCTTCAGCTAGTTGTACCATATGTTGTTGTGTTGATTAAATCCCACACAACGACAATGGTCTTTCTATCTGACGATCCTGAAAGCACAATTAGCATGATAAAAAAAACATGCAAGCACGTCGAGCAAAAAGGCTCTGGATTGGGGTTTAAAACCTGTCTAGTTGCACAGATGGCAGGAAACACAAGCATTTTTTAAAAACATTTCAGTCATTTAGCAGACGCTCTTATCCAAAGTGACTGCATACATTTTTCTGACTGGTCCCCCATGGGAATTGAACCCACAGCCCTGGTGTTGCAAGCGCCATGCTCAACCAACTGAGCTACACAGGACCCAACCATAACCAAGCAGACCCAAACATAACAAAGGATAGTCTGGTAGAGCATTAGTAGCAGAAGAAAACAAGTCGAAGTGTGACCGTCAAGCCATCCATCAGCTCTCACAGACTTAAGCTTGCAAGACAAAACAGAGTGCCATCCAAGTCACTATACAGTCGGTATACTGATTGTGCAAAGTGGTCATTCTACCTTGCATTAAGGGACTTATAGTGCTTTATATTTAATTTGACTTCTTATACTTTATCAATCAGGGGGAAATATATTTTCAAGGAAGACCTGCCCCAAGACAGCAGCATAGGTTTGTTTTTACAGAGGCATATATCAAATGACAATACAGTAGCACACTTGAGTGCAAGGTAACTGAACTAAATGACTATCGCCCCATAGCACTCACCTCTGTCATCATGAAGTGCTTTGAGAGACTAGTCAAGGATCATATCACCTCTACCTTACCTGTCACCCTAGACCCACTTCAATTTGCTTACCGCCCCAATAGATCCACAGACGACGCAATCGCCATCACACTGCACACTGCCCTATCCCATCTGGACAAGAGGAATACCTATGTCAGAATGCTGTTCATTGACTATAGCTCAGCATTCAACACCATAGTACCCTCCAAGCTCATCATTAAGTTCGAGGCCCTGGGTCTGAATCCCGCCCTGTGGAACTGGGTCCTGGACTAACTGATGGGCCGCCCCCAGGTGGTGAAGGTAGGAAACAACATCTCCACTTCGCTGATCCTCAACACTGGGGCCCCACAAGGGTGCATGCTCAGCCCCCTCCTATACTCCCTGTTCACCCATGACTGCGTGGCCAAGCACGCCTCCAACTCAATCATCAAGTTTTCAGATGACACAACAATAGTAGGCTTGATTACCAACAATGACGAGACAGCCTACAGAGAGGAGGTGAGGGCGCTGGGTGTGGTGCCAGGACAATAACCTCTCACTCAATGTCAACCAAACAAAGGAGATGATCGTGGACTTCAGGAAACAGCAGAGGGTGCACACCCCTATACACATCGACGGGACCGCAGTGGAGAAGGTGGGAAGCTTCAAGTTCCTTGGCGTACACATCACTGACAAACTGAAATGGTCCACCCACACAGACAGTGTGGTGAAGAAGGCGCAACAATGCCTCTTCAACCTCAGGAGGCTGAAGAAATGTGGCTTGCCACCTAAAACCCTCACAAACTTTTACAGATGCACAATTAAGAGCATCCTGTCGGGCTGTATCACTGCCTGGTACGGCAACTGCACCGCTAGCAACCGCAGGGCTCTCCAGAGGGTGGTGCGGTCTGCCGAACGCATTACCGGGGGCAAACTACCTGCCCTCCAGGACACCTACAGCACCCGATGTCACAGGAAGGCCAAAAAGATAATCAATGACATCAACCACCCGAGCCACTGCCTGTTCACCCCGCTATCATCCAGAAGGCGACGTCAGTACAGGTGCATCAAAGCTGGGACCGAGAGAATGAAAAACAGCTTCTATCTCAATGCCATCAGACTGTTAAATAGCCATCACTAGCACATTAGAGGCTGCTGCTGCCTATTGAAATCACTGGCCACTTTAAGAAATGGAACACTAGTCACTTTAATAATGTTTACATATCTTGCATTACTCATCTCATATGTGTACTGTATATACTGTATTCTATAATATTCTACTGTATCTTAGTCCATGCCGCTCTATCATTGCTTTTCCATATATGTATATATACTTAAATTTCATCCCTTACTTAGATTTGTGTGTATTGGGTATGTTGTGAAATTGTTAGATATTACTTGTTAGATATTACTGCACTGTCGGAGCTAGAAACACAAGCATTTCGCTACACCCGCAATAACATCTGCTAAACACGTGTATGTGACAAATTTGATTTGATTTGGACAAACAACTACATATTCCAACAGAATGATTTACACAGAAAAACCTGATCGAATGTATCTATTCAGTGTGACAGTCTTCACTTACATTGTGTTGTAGGACAGCTCCCTCTAGTGTCAAAAGTGGACAAGGCAAGACTGAATGAATTTCACATTTCTCCTTTATCCCTCTCCTGTTTTCTCCCTCACCATTTCTCTCTTCCCCTCTAACATTCTCTCTCTTTTTCACTATTTATCTCTCTCCTCTTCCCCTCTCCCACCTACTCTCCCATTTCTCTTTTTTTTTCTCCCTCCCTCCAGAATGTGAACGCCAACCCGCGGCCCACAGCCCAGGACCTGGCGGGCTTCTGGGACCTGTTGCAGCTCTCCATCGAGGACATCAGCCTCAAATTTGACGAGCTCTACCACCTCAAGTCCAGCGACTGGCAGCCCCCTGCCGTGGCCCACTCGCCCCCCGAGCGGAAGGTACTTCCCACCCCTGCTGCCCAGTGCCCAGACTGGGGTAGGAAAGCCGCCGAAACTGGCCTCTCTCCTCCCTCCCCATCTCCCCTCTCTCTTCTCCCTCTCCCTGTGTGAGGGGAACACTTAAAGGGGCTTCCCAGCCCAATGTAAAGGGGCTAGAGAGAAGCCACCTCCCTTTACACATGCATGGGGTTCAATCTCAAAGAGGGCAGTTTGTTTTGGACTGTTTTTGCGCTTGTAAGCCCCTCCTTTGAGCATGCATGTCGCGGTAAAATAAATGCTCCAGTCTGAAGTCGAACTTGCATGGCAATGGCAAAGGTTGCATCCCGTCATGGAATGTGGCCTGGCTTTCGCTCTATCTTGGATGTGTTTGTGTGAACGCGCGCGTGTAGGGAGCGATTAGTTAGTTTGATGGCTGCTGGATTGACTGGAGTAGAAATAGTATGTTTTGGTGAGAGTATTTGGGTGGATGTGTGCTTCAACTGCTTTGAGTTCATGCAGCGCCGTTTCACTTCTTCTGCAGTGACATTGCATTCAATTTAGTGTGATTCATCCAATGGGATACACTTAATTTGAATTATACATCGTAACAGCATCAACATTTGTTATGTTATGTCAATATTGTGACACTTTTATGGCGTACAGTTCAAATAGAGTGATACCATTTTAATGTCCTTTATGGCGTACAGTTCAAATAGAGTGATACCATTTAATATTATTCAGACCAGTATTCATTCAGTGTCTACTCTGACAAAGTGTCACCCTCAATCTCCTATATTCAACATATTTTGTCTGTATTGTCCATATAATTGGCTCTATGTGTCAAGTTAGCCCCCTTGTACATTTAATTGTAGAAAGCTTCACCATAATCAAAACGTCCCTGTCAAAGATCTATGTTTATCAAATGAAACTCACAATGCTCTTTTTTGCGACCTCTGTATTACCCTCCGTTGCTTCGTTGCTTTCGAAAAGAAAACCTTGTATCTCCAAAACTGAAACTTTTCAGGACATGGAAAAACTGCCATATTTGACCATGTATGAACCTACAATCACGAAAGCTATTAATCAGAAGCTATTTTGTATACTTTTTCTTGGTCCAAAAGGCCTAACATTTTAAAAGTTGAATTCATCCAAAAAGGGGACAAAATTGAGTTACAAGGTTTTATTCTAACAGCAACAACGCCTTGCATCCTCTCACTCTCTCATCTCTCCACCCCCCCCCCCCCCCCCCCCCCTCCCCCCTTCTCTCTTCCATGTCTATCTTTCCTATGTCTTTTCTGCCCCCTTGTGGTTGACTCCATCCATTGCGGACCACCACCAGGAGGACAAAAAGGAGCCCCCTCCTCCAGTGCCAAAGAAGCCCGGTAAGGGGAGGCCGGTGCTGGGCCGCGAGAAGAGCGCAGACTCGGCCTCGTCCACCTCTTCGGCGGAGAAGCAGCGGACGGAGGCCCGCAAGCGCCTACTGGCTGCCAAGAGGGCCGCCTCGGTCCGGCAGAACTCAGCCACGGAGAGCGCCGACAGCATCGAGATTTATGTCCCTGAGGCCCAGACCCGCCTCTGAGAGAGAGTGAGAGAGAGAGAAAGTGTGTGAGAGAGTGTGTGAGAGAGTGAGAGAGTGAGAGAGAGAAAATAATGGTCTCCTCACCATACACACAGGGTAGGCTGGTGTTGGTGGGAGCCAGTCTAGATGGAGTGAGAAAGAAAGAAAGAAAGAGAGAGAGAACTTTTGGCCTGTAGACTATATGGGGAATATTTGTCTCCTCTCACGAGGCTGCAATGGAAAAACCTAAACCACAGACTTTGTTACTATTGTTACAACTTTTTGGGGTTATTTTATTAGGATCCCCATTAGCTCTTGCGAAAGCAGCAGCTACTCTTCCTGGGGTCCACACAAAACATGAAACATGACATAATACAGAACATGAATAGACAATAACAGCATACATTTACAATGTCACACATAGCCTACATATTAGTACAAACACACAAAACTCTTGATTATTACTCAAATTATGAACATTGTTATTGATGATGGTATTATTATCTCCTAAAGAAACTATATCAAGACTGTTTTAGATGTACCTGTATCTTGGCTATAAGAGATCTAATATGCGGACAGAGTAAGCGTTTGTGCTTTCCAATGCCCCTCCCACCTCCCTCTCCCTTGCCTTGGCCAACCCATAGTTTGCACAACGCCACCATGTGGTCAAATGTACACACACTTACTCAGAGGAGCACTCACACACACCCACACCCACACACACATCAGACCCACAGCTATCTATGTCTTCCTGGTGCTTTTTTGTTTGTTTTGTTTTTATTTATAATATAATATAATATGCCATTTAGGAGACGCTTTTATCCAAAGCGACTTACAGTCATGCGTGCATACATTTTTGTGTATGGGTGGTCCCGGGGATCGAACCCACTACCTTGGCATTACAAGCGCTGTGCTCTACCAGCTGAGCTACAGAGGACCACATTTGTTTTGTATGAGCCCTTGCCTGCAGTTCTAGATTCTTGAGGGGTTTTGTAGAGCAGGGTACTTAAAACTGAGTTAGGAAATAGGGGATTGGGGTATTTAATGTCAAATATCACAACTTGTATAAGTGAGATCTATTGAAAACATAATGTATGTTTTTGAGTTAATTATTGTCCAACCTTGAAAAAAATATATTTAAAAAAAATAAAAAATATTAGGTGCTTTATAACTGACTCAAACTACACTCAAACATCAATATTTACTGGAATATCATTTGAAGATCCTACTTTTCCATTGAGATGCTATTGTTTTCTGCCATTTTGGTCCTAGGATGTATTCATCAGCCAATGTCCACACTTTGTACTCTCATGTCTCTCCATTGGTCTGTGTCTGTGAATTTACTAATCAGTCCTATTTATAAGGCACCACACAGGGGACAAACAGACTGAAACCTGGTGGAACTACCTGAATAATCAATAAGAAATGCTTGTTTAATTTTCCTTTGCAGAACGTTTCGCTACGTTGTCCCCTAATGAATACAACCATGGTGTAGGTATATCAGATCAATTGAATATAAATTTAGGTTTTGGGTAAAACTTGCACATAGAGGGGTCAGACAGGACCACCATTGAGAACCGTCCCACTGGGCAAAATGTGGTTGAGTTTGTATTGTTTCCCTGTTATTTCAGGATACTTTTACCAACGTTATCATGTTGCATCATTGTGGCTATTTCATTGAACATTTCAAAAGTCTGTGGGTTTTTAAAGTAGGTACTTCTAGCAACTCAAGCTTGTTGCAGCAGCAATATCATTGAAAGGTTAGAGGGGTTTCTTTCCCCAACTTCTGTCTCAACTTCCCTTTCTACAATTCACCTCTGGTGATTTGGCGTCACTGTTTTTTATATTGTAATTGAGTTTTCACAGATGCTGGTGCGTTTCCCATATGGGACCACTACTCAGTTTGCATGGGAAAGTTCTGGTCAATTCCACCTCAAATTCCAGTCACTTCAACCATAGTTTCATTTGCTATCCTATAGAGATTTTAAATGGAATTGAGCCCAATTCGGACTTATGGTTAAGCATCAAATAACTTTGACTAATGCCTGCTTAATTACAGTATTGTAGGTGACTATTCTCCATACTGCACACGCCCATGTAAATGATTTGTGATTCACTACACTGCATATTCAGTGCTACTGTATGGCTTTTACCACATCACGGTTCCTGACCAGACAGCCTCTTCAAAAGAGATGGAGAAAGGAAAGGATACTAGAGAAAGGAAAGGAGACTAGGAAAGAGATTAGGAGAGGAAACCACTTTAGACTAGTGAGATGTTTCAGTAGCACTATGTTGGAAGTTTTTCTCTTATCCCCTCTACTGGTAATAGTTTGCACTACATCTCAATTGTCCATGACAGTTTTGGAGGGAAGGATTTCATTCTTGAATGTAGAACAAACACATTGTTTTTTTTTAAATTAACCAAGCACCCTGTCATATCGCTGCCTGCCATTGTTGTAGTTTTCTTTATTTTCGTTAAATATCATCCCTAACTACCTACACTAAAATTGAGACAAAAATGATTAAATCTCTATTATATTACATCTATTTGTCATTTCTTTGACATCATTTATTTTTGAAAATGCTGTTGGTACTTTAACAAAAAATAAATGCATTACCCTTCTGCCTGTGTGGGAAATAAGTATAGCCATCAGGTGATTCACTCTCTCAAGATGCCTGTGAAAGTGGAAAATGTAATGATTCCAGTCCAGTAATAAAAAGTAGCCTAATCTCTCATCTAACAACACATATTAACTTTGTCAAATGAGATCAATAAATTTGACATTCTATGGTATTTCATTCACCACTAGGGGACATTTATTAGAGGGGTAACTGTCAAAAGTTGGTGATTTTGAAATGATGAAACCCTGATGAAGACAGCTTGCTGTCGAAACATTTGTAAATAAATAATTGCATCGGAGCTACTAGAGTGTGCGGCATTTCCTTTTCTTTAAAAGATTTCACTTGCCAGACTCATGGTGCTCCAGTGGCTGTGGGAAGAGGCCATTGGAGCGTCCCAAATGGCACCCTATTCCCTACAAAGTGAACTAGCTTTGAAAGTACTTTTCAAAAGTAATGCACTGTTTAGGGAATAGGGTGCAATTTGGGACAAATTCTATAAAAAGGCAGAGTGAACAGCATTTTCAAAGTTGGTCATTACAAACATGCTTCCGACCATACATTTTCAACATTTTAGTCATTTAGCAGACACTTGTATCCAGAGCGACTTACAGTTAGTGCATTCATTTTCATACTGGCCCCCCGTGGGAATCGAACCCACAACCCTGGCGTTGCAAATGCCATGCTCTACCAACTGAGCTACACGGGACCTACAGACCTTCAACCAGTACTGTTTTTTTTATAGCTAATTAAGACTTTTAGTGGTAGCCAGATACTGATTAATTGTGTTTGTTTCTTTGACAAAACACTGAAGAATGCAGTCTTCTCCCCCTTCTCATTATCTCTCACATACAGTACTATGACCAAATGCTATTAAATGTTCTGTGTCCAATTCCACATGGTTTCCCCTTTGCTACACATGGCTAGGACATGCAGTAGTGACATGGAACTTGACTACATGTCAAAGTCAACCCCAATTAGTTTTCTTCTATTTCTCATCCCCCAACATGGTGTCCTGCACCAAATACTACCTTTCCCTGCTAATTAATTACATCATTTAGCAGAAGCTCTTATCCAGAGCAACTTACAGTTAGTGAGTGCATAAATTGTTTCATACTGGCCCCCCGTGGGAATCGAACCCACAACCCTGGCGTTGCAAACACCATGCTCTACCAACTGAGCTACACATGGTATGGGTTAATGGTTATTCTGTTGTTCCAGATGGTTCAGTCTGTTGAAGATGGTGCTTGCAACACCAGGGTCCCCACATGGGCCATATACAATGTGTTCACTTGAATAAAAATGACCATATGCCTGGTTGCTTGTTAGCTAGTTACTCAATGTCTCGTTTCTCATTTTGGGGTATTTTTCCCCCTACCACCACAGTGACAGAATAGCCTGAGCCTCAGGCTTTGCATTGGAAAGGCCTGGCTGTATTGGCCATCATCCCCCCTCCTGGGAAGAGGTCTCTCTTGATTGCAGCCTATTGTTTGCTGTTGTGTGTTTGCCTGAATTGCTGATAGCCCCCTTTGCTCTGCTCAGTAAACGGTGGGGTGTCAATGGCTCTGCTCCCTCTCTGTGAATACGTCATCTGAAGGCTCCCCCATTTGACCATGGCTCTAATCATTGGCGCCTCCAGGCTTTGTGTGAGAGTTGCTTGTCATTGGTGGTTTGATTCTTTGCCAGGAAGGGGGTTGGTGTGTCTGACAAGTTGTGTTCTTGGTTTGCTGTTGTGGCCAATGTAGTTAGACGTGGGTATTTGTTTTTCATGCTTATTCTGGAGCATTCCAACTCTTTTCTCTGGTGATTTTGTAGTCCAGTGACTTGGACTTGAATTTGGACACAATCTGTTATAACATAAAAACATATTGGTAAGATGAGGGCAGTGGAAGGTAGGCCAAGAAAGAAAACAAGTAGGCAGCCAGTACGATACAGAACATTTTTGTGAACTATTTACAGGTCATATTTACAAAGAATACATACTGTATAAGGAGCAGATCAGCCTATAGTATATTTCACATCAGGACGCACAACTGCAACACGTTTTGACTACAAGAGTCTTCTTCAGGCAGTGTGAACATAGGGGTAACATGTGTTATTTGTAATGCTATATGAGATCCTGCTAGATTGAGAAAAGCAATTTATATTGTAAGTCGGTAACAGGGTAATGGTTATATGAGGAAAATAATGACACTGACTGTATCAATACTGATAAGAATGGATGTCCCCCTATCACTACACTGTGGCACCGGCGGACCCCTTCTGGCCCTCCAAAACCACTTCCAGCCACCCGTTTTCCCAGGTGGTTTCCCATCCATGCACTAACCAGGAATAATCCTGTTCGTTTCAGAGGAAAGACAGCAGAGATCTGTCAACACTGCCAGCTCTATTTCGATTTGAGTCGGTTCCTGACTGGAATTTAAATAATTCAATATGCATATGGAAAGAGTGCGAGGCAGAGAGAGAGCGGGAGAGAGATGGGGTGCGTCAAGGACAAAAAGCTATTACAGGATGACAGAAAGACAGTCCAGTGCTGCTCTAATCTGCATGAATACGTAAATGACAGCAACTGTC